TATATAAACAAACAAACTCTATAGACCTTAATTTAAATCCTTTAAACATTTTATCGATTTGTTAAAAATCTGATGAAAAGCTGCAGAAATCTGATGGGAAATGATCCGGACCAAAGGAATGTGACCCGGTTCCAAAGAGAACAAAGATCCACATTTTAATGAGTGTCAGCCAAGCAAACGCACACAATGATACACACACACACACACACACAACTACACACTGACACACAACTACACGCTGACATACAACAGGGGTTTCACACAAACACTCGTCCCACAGAGGTTCTATTTAGATGAACAGACTTCCTGTACTGACAAACAATCCATCAAGAAAATTACTTCCTCACGCACAACTACACATGGAGAACACACAACTACACAAAACTACACTGAGAAGCACACAAAGACACACAGCTACAGAGACAGTGGACTTGTGTCCACACTTGTCCTCTGTGGATTTTTCAGTCTCCTTTTCTATTTTTCTTAGAAAAAAAAGCTACAAACATTGACACGAAATCAGATTAGATCAGGGGCGGAGCTACAGACAGGCATGATCTCAGGGGGCGGAGCTACTAATTTGTGGGCTCTCACAGGTGAAAGCTACAGACTTTAAATCAGATTAGATTAGAGGGCGGAGCTACAGACTTTAAATTAGATTAGTTTAGAGGGCGGAGCTAATACTTGCAGGCTCCTGTCAATCAGCTGAAGTCTGGAGTAACGAGACTGGACGAAACTTTAAAAAAAACATTTTAATTCTAATTCAACACATTTACAGGTGAAAAACAACACGTAGAAAAGTGATCAGATTATTGATCAGATTATTGATCAGCTGATCTCAGCAGCGACTCGTCTCTGAGCGATGAGACGCCGTTGGCTCATCTGTCGCACGACGCCGTGATACTCGTCTAGTTTGTCCTGGAGTTTGGTGTGAAGCTGCAACACAAAACGCTTCAGAGTGAGACACACACAAACACAAACACACACTCAGGTGAACGATGCCGCTGTGATGTAAACAGGAAGTGCCTCACATTGATGTGCGTCCGCGTCTCGCTCAGAGCGTGCAGCAGCTGATCGATGGCGGTGTACGGCAGCCAGGCGGGCGGAGACGTGGCCGACAGCGGCCTCTGACACGCCAAACGAAAACAGGTCAACGACACGCACTCACGCAGTACTACTGCAGTACTCGGTGTGTATTTGTACCTCTATTCCAAAGTACTGGTGTCCTCGGCCAAGGACGGCGTCCACGTACTCCAGCACGAGCTCGGCCGCCGCCTCCAGGTGGTCAAAGTTCAGGAGGAGGCGCAGCAGCGACGGAGCATCAACACGCTGAAAAAATAAAAACACTGTCAGTGTCAACACGAGCTTTAGCCCCGCCCACCTGAGAAACATTTCATGTTTTCATTGGACCACATTTTATAAGATCTGAACTGTTACCAAGCCCCGCCCCCATCACCTTATAGGACTGCAGCAGCCAATCAGGCAGCGGCACTCCATGTGACAGCAGCTTGTGGATGACGTGGCGATGATGCTGCCCGTTGGTGGAAGGATACCTGTCCAGGTAGGAGGCCAGCAGGCGCCACGCCTCATCAGTGGCGCTGAGGACAGAGGAAGTGGAAAGAGAGGGGCGGAGTCACAACCGGGTTCTGATTGGTCAACATAATTACTGACAAATGAATCACACCTGGACTCCTTTGTGTTAACGACAGACAGCTGATTGGCAGCCAACCAGCTCCAAGCTTCGTTCTGAGACTCCTCCCCCCCAAACTGCATCTGGATGCACCTGACGTAAACAAACACAAAAGGTAAACAGACAAACAAACAAAGGTAAACAAACAGAACAACAAACAAAGGTAAACAAACAGACAAACAAACAAAGGTAAACAAACAGACAAACAAACAAAGGTAAACAAACAGACAAACACATAGAAGGTAAACAAACAAACAAAAAATTAAAGGTAAACAAACAAACAAAAAATTAAAGGTAAACAAACAAACACATAAGGTAAACAAACAGACAAACACAAAGGTAAACAAACAGACAAGTTAATCAAAAGGGCAGTAGGTAAACAGAAGGGGATGAGGAAATAATGTGAGGAAACAAGGATAGGAGACAAGTAAAGGAGGTAAGGATAGAACAAAGAATGTAGAGAAGCAAGGAAAGAAAACAAGCAGAGATAAGGAAGGAAGGATAGGAGACGAGGAGAACCTGAGCTTCCTCCTGAACTCACTTGAAGGTCAGAGCGTCAAAGACTGGACTCAGGTCCAGTTTAAAGGTCCGACTCAGAGACAGTGCTGAGTCAAAGAGTCCTGTTTGGACCAGGAGGAGGACCAGTTCTGGAGCAGACGCACTTCCTGTTCACACAGAGACACGGATCCATCAGCTGATTGGTCTTTACAAAAAAACTGCCTGAGGATCAACAGCTCGTCTGATTGGTTCTTACACTCCTGGGATGTAACTAACACACACACACACACACACACACACACACACACACACACACACACACAC